TTCTATTCTATTCTATTCTATTCTATTCTATTCTATTCTATTCTATTCTATTCTGTTCTATTCTATTCTATTCTATTCCCTAGTCTAATCCAAGTCCAAGCCCAGTCTAAATGCTATGGCTAAACGCTCTTTTCCCGCAGCAGAGAGGGCCTGGCCTGGAGAGGGACGTGTGTGGGGCCAACCCCCCCCAGCCCCTCGTCTGAGACCTATTTTTTTCTTTTTTACAGTCCAGCAGCTCCTTCAGAAGGGCCTCAGCCCCGACCTGTGCAACGAGGATGGACTGACCGCCTTGCACCAGGTGAGCCCCGTGCTTCTTTCAGGCTGTCCCCCCTCCTCCCACCTTCTGGGTCAGGTGGCCTGGGCCTTTTTGCTCTCCCCACAGCAGAGCCCCCCCACCCGAGCCCTCGCGGTCTCCCAGGGGTTCCTGCCTGGCTGGTGTCGCCGCCTTCCTCCTCTGGGCAAGGGCAAGTGGAGGCCCAACACACCGGCTCACAGCCGGAGCCGGAATGGCGGACCTGGAGATCCGGAGCGCTCCCGATGGGGGAGGCCGCCTCCTAAGCTGTCGTCAGGGCCTGGGGGGGTCTAGGGAATGAGGTGCTGGGGGACCCTTCACGACCGCCTTGCTCGGCAGTGGGCATCCGGGTCTCTGCGGTGCTCATAAGTCGAGGACTGCCTGCGGTTTGCAAATTGGAGCTGGAAAGTCCGTCCTGGAGGCCAGATCCCCCTTTTGCCCCCTAACTTCTGTCCCCTTACAGGCAGTCCCTGACTTACGACAGCTCACTCAGTGACCGTTCTAAGTTACAGCGGCACTGGAAAAAGTGACCCCACCATCCCCTTTTGCGCCCTTCTGACAAGCCAAGCCAGTGGAGACGCCAGGTTCACTTAGCAACCTTAACGGCCGCCGTGATTCACTTAACAGCCGTGGCAAAGAGAGGTTGTAAAACGGGACAAAACCCACTCCGCAAATGTCTCACTCAGCGACACAAATGGTGGGCTCAGTTGTCATAACTCGAGGGCTATTTGACCGAGGCCTCCTCGTCCTCCTCCCTCAGCTGTCCTTTCCCCCATTCTCTTCCCCTGGCGCTCCTCCCTCCATTCTGTGGGGAGACCACCTTGTGGGTCCCTTCTTGGCGTTGCGGAAGTGATATCGGGAAGAGGGTTGTGCTGCTGCCGTTGCTGCTTCTCCAGGGGCCGAAGGGCCTTCGGGCTCAACCGGACGCGGGACGGTCCCAAATCCCACCTTTTCCAAGAGCCGGTTTCATCCTCCCCCTTTGCTCTCTCCTGTTGTGGGGTTGTAAACCTTCTTGGCAGTCCTGCCACTGTGTTCAGTAAACACACAACGTGGCTCTGAGCGTGAAGTTCAGTCCCCAGAAGGGCCCAGATCCACCTTTCCCCAAAGCCCTTTTCAGAGCACGAGGTCATAGATAGAAGAGTTCGTTTACTGACCGTTTGAAGTTGCAGCAGCACCGGAAAAAGTGACTTACGAACATTTTTCACACTTACGACCGTTGCAGCATCCCCTGTGGTCAGGCGATCAGCATTTAGAGGCTTGGCAACTGGCTCGTATTTATGACGGTCGCGGCGTCCCAGGGGGGTGTCACGCGATCCGCTTTTGCGACCTGCTGGCAAGCATAGTCAGTGGGGGAAGCCAGATTCGCTGAACAGCCGTGTTGCTAGCTTAACAACTGTGGTGATTCGCTTAACAACTTAACAAGAAAGGTCGTCAAACAGGGCAGAATTCCCTCAGCAACCATCTCGCTTAGCGACATAAATTTTACAGCCCAATTGTGGTCGTAAACTGAGGACTGCCTGTATACACCGATGGGGCAAGGAAGGCTGGGCACCGTCTGCTCATTGGAAAGACCAGCCCAGGAAAGGCAAACTGAGAAGTTTATTCTTTTATTAAATTTATGAAGAGAAGGACGAGGGGGGACATGATAGCAGCCTTCCAATATCTCAGGGGCTGCCCCAAAGAAGAGGGAGTCAAGCTATTCTCCAAAGCCCCTGAAGGCAGGACAAGAAGCAACGGATGGAAACTCATCAAGGAGAGAAGTAACATAGAACTAAGGAGAAACTTCCTGACAGTTAGAACAATTAACCAGTGGAACAACCTGCCTCCAGAAGTGGTGAATGCTCCAACACTGGAAGCTTTTAAGAAGAGACTGGACAGCCATTTGTCTGAAATGGTATAGGGTTTCCTGCCTGAGCAGGGGGTTGGACTAGATGACCTTCAAGGTTCCTTCCAACTCTACTACTACTACTACTACTACTACTACTACTACTACTACTACTACTACTACTACTATTATTATTATTATTATTATTATTATTATTATTATTATTATTATTATTATTTCCTCCCAAAGTGGCTCTGGGCGACTGGTGCGGATCCTCCGGCTGGGGGTTTCGCCCTTGCGACGCAATCTTCACCCTGGCCGGTGTTTCAGCTGCTCACGGCGCCAAGCCGTGTTGCGGTGATGCGCCCTGCTAAAAGGGGAGAGCGGGGCCAGGGCAGGCCAGGCGCAGGGCATCCTCACTGAGGGCCTCTGCCTGGTTTCGCCTTGCTCCAGTCCCTGAGAAATTAGTCTTGAGGTCCGGCCTCTTGTGTGTGGCTCAAGGTCTAGGTGAATCTGCCCTGACCGTTCAGGTGTGGCGTGAACAGGACAGCAAAACGGAGGCCCTGCTGCTTTCGAGGCCTCTGAGTGTTGCGAGTTGGACGTTACAGGTGGTCCTCAACATACGACCGCAGTTCTGTTGCTAAGCAAGACCGTTGTTAGGTAGGCAAGTTGTTAAGCGAATTGCTGCAGTGGTAAAGTTAGGAACACGGTTGCTAAGTGAATCTGATTTTGCTGGCCAGAAGGTCACAAAAGGGGATCGCCGGGGACTCCGGGAAAGGGCAACCGTCATAAATACGAGTCAGTGGCCGGGCGTCTGAATTTTGATCACGTGACCACGGGGGAGGCTGCAACGGCCGTCAGCGTGAAAAACATTCCTAGGTCGCTTTTTTCAGCCTTGCTGTAACTTTGGTCACTGAATGCATCGTAGCACAACCGCACCCACCCCGTTGCCGGCAGTGGGAAAAAAGCCGCCATATGTCACGACACGTCAGGTGACGTTGTGAGTGTGACACCCCTGTGCTGTAGTGGGAAGCCAGCAGGGTGGGTGAGTGGGAAGAGGCTTAGGGGGTGCCTAGGGCTGCTCCCCTCTCAGCAACCTTGCGGCCGTCGGAGACTTCCTGTCCCAGCCCAGGGACGATTGCCCTCTCCCCACTAGGCCTTCCTCCCCTCTCCCCAGTGCTGCATTGACGACTACGGGCAGATCGTGGAGCTGCTGCTGGAAGCCGGGGCCGACGCGAACGCCTGCGACAGCGAGCTCTGGACCCCGCTGCACGCTGCCGCCACCTGCGGGCACCTGGCCCTGGTGGGGCTGCTGGTTCAGAGGTACGGGCCGCTCCTTCCAAGGCTGAGTGGGGCTTGGGGAGGGGTCTTTGAGGGTCTCCGCTGGCCCTGGCCCCAGAGGGCCACCCTGCTGGGCAGGGGCTGCGCCTGAGCGTCGGGAACCCGTTGGTGGCTTAGGGGTCCTTTCGGCAATTTGATGGGTTTTGTGAACAATACAGACTTGGATGGTTTGTTCTTCAACCGATGAGACAGGCAGGAGCCTTTGGCCCAGTTCCTCTCCTGCCCCCACCTTCAGGAAATATTTATCTTTGCGTCCTTCCTTTATTATCTTTATGAACAACTCAAGGCAGCAATCAAGCCTGACGTTCCTCCCTCTTCCTATTTTCCCCAAACAACGACCCAGTGAGGAGAGAGGAGGTGAGAGGGAAGGACTGGCCCAGAGTCACCCAGCCGGCTTTCATGCCTAAGGCNCATGGCTAAGGCAGGACTAGAACTCACCATCTCCTGGTGATTGGCCCAAAGTCACCCAGTTAACTTCTATGCTTAAGGCGGGACTAGAACTCTCCGTCTCCTGGTGATTGGCCCAAAGTCGCCCAGTTGGCTTTCATGGCTAAGGTGGGACTAGAACTCCCTCTCTCCCGCCTTGACCACTAGGCCAGGCAACCACCTGGATAAGAGCATCCCTTGTCGTTACCATTTAGAACAGGGGTAGTCAACCTTGGCTCTTTTATGACTCGTGGACTTCAATTCCCAGAATTCCTGAGCCAGCTTAGCTGGCTCAGGAATTCTGGGAATTGAAGTCCACGAGTTTCAGGACCGTTGCGGCATCCTCAGGGTGGTGTCATCAGAACTCAGATGCTCGGCAACTAACTCATACTTACGACGGTCGCAGTGTCCTGGGGGGGGTTATGTGATCCCCTTTTGCAGCCTTCCGACAAGCAAAGCCAATGGGGATCCACTTAACAATGGCATTCCCCATTTAGCCATTACAGCGATTCAGTTAACAACCGTGGCCGGGGAGGTTGTGACACGGGGGCAAAACTCACTTAACGAAATGTCTCACTTAGTGACAGAAATGTTTGGCTCGGCTGTGGCCGTAAGCCGATCACTGCCTGCCTTGCATTATTTTAATGTTGCAAAGGTATAATAATAGTAATAATAATAATAAAGTTGGAAGGGACCCTGGAGGTCATCTAGTCCAACCCCCTGCTCAGGCAGGAAACCCTATACCATTTCGGACCAATGGCTGTCCAGTCTCTTCTTAAAAACTTCCAGTATTGGAGCATTCACCGCTTCTGGAGGCAGGTAGTTCCCCTGGTTAATTGTCCTCACTGTCAGGAAGTTTCTCCTTAGTTCCAGGTTGCTTCTCTCTTTGGTTAGTGCAGCTCTTGCTATTTTTAAGAAGAGACCGGACAGTCATTTGTCTGAAATGGCACATAGGGTTTCCTACCTGAGCGGGGGGGTTGGACTAGATGACCTCCGAGGACCCCTTCCAACTTTGTTATTATTATTGCAATCTTTGCACTGCGGTCTTTATTGCAATCCTTACCTCACGATACGATCATTTTGCGACAATGCCTTATTGCATTACTTTCTTTTATTATTATCATTATCATTATCATTATCATTATTATTATAATTTTTTATTAATAATACAAAATTAAAAACACATTGGACATAGATATGACGTCACTGGTTCCATACATCTTCCGACATTTTACAGTAGTATTAGTACTCATATAGACATATAGTTCTTTATAATATAAAATATAATATTAA